CTCCTCTCTTCTCTCTCCTCTCCTCTCTCCTCTCTCTCCCTCTCTCTTCTCTCTCTCTCCTCTCTCTCTCTCCTCTCCTCTCATCACTCACTCACTCACTCAACTCACTCTCTCTCTCTCTCTTCTCTCTCTCTCTCTCTCTCTCTCCTCTCTCCTCTCTCTCTCTCTCTCTCTTCCCTCCCTCCCTCCCTCTTCTTTTTTTTTACTGACACTCTTTCTGTTTCTGTTTCTCCCACCCTCTCTTTGAATGTCTATCCATCCTTTCATCTCCTATCTTCTCTCTCTCTCTCTCTTCCCTCCCCTCCCCCTCCCTCCCCCTCCCTTCTCCTCTCCTCTCCCTTCCTTTTTTCCTTTCTTCTTCTTCTTCCTTCCTTCCTTTCTTCCTTCCTTCCTTTCTTCCTTCCTTTCTTCCTTCTTTCTTCCTCCTTCTCCTCTTCCTTCCTCCTTTCTTCTTCCTTCCTTCCTTCCTTCTTCCTTCCTTCCTTCCTTCCTTCCTTCCTTCCTTCCTTCCTTCCTTCCTTCCTTCCTTCCTTCCTCCCTTCCCTCCCTCCCTCCCTCCCTGCCCCCCCCCTCTCTCTCTCTCTCTCTCTCTCTCTCTCTCTCTCTCTCTCTCTCTCTCTCTCTCTCTCTCTCTCTCTCTCTCTTCTCTCTCTCTCTCTCTCTCTCTCTCTCTCTCTCTCTCTTCCTCCCCTCTCATTCTTTTGCTTTTTCTGTTTCTGCTCCCCCTCTGTCTGTCTGTCTCATCATGGACATATAACCAGACTCTTTGATTATATATAGTTAAAGGCTACATTTAGGTTATACTACATCTGTCATAAGTAATAACTTTTAATTTAAGCTTTTTTATATTTGTAATTCTAGGACTGTTTTTTGCGGTGTGTACCAGGAAGCCTAAGATGGCCTGGGCAAGAGTAGGACGGTACCAGTGGCTCAGTGGAGCTTCCCTAATGCTGCTGCTTGCAGACCTCGTACTGAATGCCATCTTTCTTGTCTTTACACACAGCACTCTGTTAACATTGTTGATTTACATGTGAGTAAAATGTCCTGTTCATTCTGGCTCAGTTTCTTTCAATATAAGTAAATAAATATAGATAGATAGATAACTATAGATGCATTTAGATATATAGATATATTGATATGCAGAGATATACATATACGAGAGAGTGAGACTGAGACTGAGACTGAGTGTGAGTGTGAGTGTGAGTGTGAGTGTGAGTGTGAGTGTGAGTGTGAGTGTGAGTGTGAGTGTGAGTGTGAGTGTGAGTGTGAGTGTGAGTGTGAGTGTGAGAGTGAGAGTGAGAGTGTGAGTGTGAGTGAGATGTATATAATATAGATAGATAGATAGATATAAACATACAGATATAGATATGAACATATATAGATATATATAGATATAAATATAGATATATATATAGATATATTTAGATATATATAGATAAACAAATGGATAAAGATAGAGCAATAGATGAATGCATAGATAGATAGATGTAGATAGACAGATGGATAGACACTCTTATAGATGAATACACAGATAGATATAATTGATAGATGGAGAGAGTTAGATGGATATATAGAAACAGATAGATATTAAAATACAGATAGAGATTATCATACAAAGACATAAATAAAGTTATTGAGAGAGATAAAATAGATAGGTAGATAGATGGATATTGTTAGATATAGAAATAGAGATAAAGATATAGATATGTGTATATATATATATATTTTTTTTTCTTTTTTTAGAATCCAGGATGTGTGCCTTGTGTTTTCACTAATTCTGCTCTTCCTGGCCCTGTTTTCAACAACGCTCTCTCAGGTTGGTTCTATGGATATTTTTAGTGATACTGTTTTTATTGTATTTTTTAACATTTTACTTATAATAAGTAAAATCAACAATGGTAGTTTTAACCTGTTTTTCTTTTTCAAAAGGATCTATATTGGTAAGTTGTAATAGCAAAGATAAAGTGAAAAGAGAAATTAATCAGATGCCTTCCTCCTGACAGGCTGGCCTTATTGGAGAACTCTTTCAAAAGTTTCGCTGGTGTATTATAGCAGCTGTACTGTATCTTGGCCTTTCTTTGGGTTTCCACTCATGGTCTCTCAAGCAGCAATGGGAGGAACCTGGGAAATACATCTGGGCTCATGGAATGGTTGCTCTCTTCACACTTCAGCGAGTCGGTGGGTAATTATACTTGTCGTGTATTATATAACGTAACCGTATTATAAAATATTGAAATATTAGTTATCACTCTTGTTGTAACTTATCCTTCATACTGTTGAGAAAGCCTATCAGTAAGATCTTTACTTTTATTTTATTCAATTTCTTTCTCTACAGCTGGTGGAATCCATTATTACCTCTACAAGAGAACAATCTTACAGCTATCTGATAAGAACTTTTATGCTCAGTTACCAGTTGGTGACAGTAAATAAATATAATTTGAATCTCTTCTTTCTCAAAGAAGGAATATTTATATATTTTTTTCCGGATTACAAAATATTGTGTTAATGTGCACATACATGATACATGATAGGTAGCTAGATAGATATATAGATATATTATACCATATACAGAGGCAAATCATAATGTTTAATATATATTGGTAATGTTAAATATCCACCAGTATAGATAATATTAGCATACTATGTATGTAGTGCATTTAGTACATATGGGTACATATGTATGAGGCAGCTGAGGAAGCATGGATCTCTACTAGTAAAGCTCTGTTGGAAATAGTCCGTCCACACTAATGTTTATTAAATAATAGTTTCTTAATACAATATGATAAAATGTATGCAGAGAAATAAAATGTGTTAGCACTGTCTACAAAAATATATACATGTTCAATAAAATATATCTTGTCTAAGAAATGCACTTTTCCTCTCCCTTTTTACTTTTTTTCTCCTGCATTTCAATTGTCTTTGATTATGACTTGATTCGTCCAATACAACAGACAACAACTATTATACTGGGGATCCATAAACCATGCCAAGTTTTTTATATTCATAGTTGGCATTGCACATCGTTAACCCCTTGGATCGTTGGACCCTCTGTCATGAAAAATTTTGGCTTGTGGGTAGGGTGACATGAACATGCCGTCATAGAAAAATTTAGCTAATGGCTGGGATGACAGGAACATGCTGTCCTAAGAATTTTGTCTGAAGGGAAGTTTAATAGTTAATGTTTGAAACAAACAAATATGATAGATATCAAAGGACATATAGCACTATGGTAAATTATTGTTGCAAAAAGGGTAAATATGAGGATAAAATGTGTTAGATGTCAAAGGTTATAGTGTTATATTATAGTATGATTGGGGAAAGGGAAAGATGGGGTGCAAATGAAGTATATTGGAGATGAGTAAAAGAAAGGGTTTGAGACATAGGACAATTGGATGAAATGGGTAAGCTACATTGTTCGAGGAAAATTGGTAAAAAAGTTATTATGAAACAACGGGTAATATTGTTAGAGAAGTATAAGAAGAATCCAATGACTGAGATAAGGGGACTGGGGAGGGTGGTGAAGTATCAGGAAGAATATGGGGAGTGGAGGGATCCGGAGGAGGAAACTGTTGCAACAGAAGGGATTCATGTGAGTATCCAGGTGAGTGAGGTAAGGATAATGGGGAAAGAAGAAGGAATGGTGCACATGGAAAAGGAGAGGAAGGGGTGTGTTGGGGAAGGGGAACTTGAGGGGGAGGAGAATGGATATCTGCAAATAATTTGAGTAGAGGGAATAGGAACAGGGATTGGAGGGTGGATGAGGGAGCAGAATATTCTCTTGGATCATGTCTATGAATTTGAATTCACAAGTTTCAAGAGAGGAGTTAGGTGGGGAGGTCTGAAAAACAAATGTTCCTTTGTGAGGAGAAGCATCATAGTTATTTGAGGAGTAGAGGAAGAGGAGGGTGCTTGTGTTTGTGCTTGTGGTAGGCGAAGAGTGGAACATTTAGGTTGTCAGGTGCAACAGGTAAAGTGAGGTGGGTTAGGTATTTGAAAATTGGTAGAGATTGGAGTATCTGGATTTAGACGAAAAGGAATTTGACTGAAGGAGAGGGGGAGTACAGGTAGGATGATTCAGGGTAGATACTGAGACATCTTGAGATGGGAGGGGAGCATAGCAAAGGACAGTTTTGGAATAGACAGAGAGAGAAAAACCTCACCGTTGTGCTTCCTGTCTGGCCTCAGATAGAGTGAGGCCTTATCTGAGAACTGCTTCCTTAGATTCGAGCTTATAGACAGGGCAGCTCCTATAAAATACATCATGGAGCCAACACAACTGACACATGTACTTGACTGAGCAGGTAATTTGAGTGGTCATGACAAGAATGGGCAGATAGAGGGCAATGGTCCTTGGAGTGAGTGTTTGGCTGGGTGGCCAAAACACCTACATTTCTGACATGATGACAGTTTACTGTCAGACAGGGCAGACACTCCATCAATATAATCTTCATGGGGATCATGACTACAGAAGATAATCTGGCTTTTGAGAGGAATAGTGTAGCACAGTACTGCCATAATCATAATCAACATGGCAGGCAAGAAGGTAATTTTCATAGCATGACCAGTTCTTGTCATAGATACGACAATCGTTGGGAGACAGAAACAGTTCCAGTACAAATATTAAGAGGAGTGAGTTTGCAGGAATGAGTTTGCCAGTGAGGTCAGTCAGGGTAGATAGTGCACAAGCCATTGTTGGAAGAGAAGGGTATTGTCAGAGTAAGGGCAATAGCCAGAATCACAAAGAATCGATCCCACCTGGCTGGGCCAAAGAGAGTACTCAAAGGTTGGGAGGAAAATGGGTGGTGTGGGGAGAGGTAGTACTGTGAGGAGGACAATAAAAATGAATAGTAGTAATGTGGGGGAAGGGGTGGACACTGAAGAAGACTGTGCAATAGGAGATGGAGTGGAAGAATTGGGAGAGAGGAGTGGTTGCTTTTTTGAGGTTGACTAATGACCTGGGTGGGTGGTTCGGAATGGATATTGTCGTCAATAAACATCGATGAGGGAGTATTAGTATCAGTGGTCGGGGCTGTGGTTGTGGTCAAAATCAAATTTAGATAGGCTACTTAATGAAGGGGTACACCTTAAAGGCCTTAATAAAGGTAAAAATCTTCATATTAGCCATAGTGAACCTGAAATATGTGGGGAAAAGGCCTACACCTCAGGGTCCCCAGAAGAGATAAGGGCTAGGCGATTAACCAAGGGTATACTGTGCCCATGGTTCCTGGAGACCGTTCATGACTGACACAAAGCCACCCTTTCATCCCTTCAGCATGGCTCTCACATCTTAGTAGTGGAGAGAAGGGATAAAGAAGAGAAGGAAAAGGAAAGGGGGAGAAAAAAGACCATGCAAAATTAGTTGAGGTGAGGGCGGAGGCCCAATGTAGGGGTAATCCTCTAGCTTGGGCCTCAGTCTCTCCCTATGACAATAATGAGCAAGGGCGGGGCTGAAGGAGGGGTCAGAGGAATGGCTTGCCAGAAGTGCACAAAGCATTTGGAGGGTGACTAGATTCAGTGGGCATTTAGGAAGGATCTTGCATTATTTCCATCAGTAAACACAATGACTGGAAGAGTGCCAGCTCCAGAGAGGGTATTACTTCCATGTCCAGGATCCTATTTCAGCTTGTGACCGATGGAGTAGGTGTATTACAGAAAACTAAATATTTAAAAAAGAATTAAAATAAAATGACAAAAATGACATGTTACATATAATCATTGTTATTGTACTGAGTTATGGACTTGTTTGAGAGATAATATGGAATCTGTACAAAGAAACCAGCCTTTTACCACTTGGATACAACATATGAAATGACAAATATAGACAATGGAAAATGGCATAAAAAAATGCTTATCCAGAAAGAGATATAACATTGCAAAAGTGAGTAAACAGTCTTTACACCACTTAAGGAAGAGCCTAATGCCTGGATCCAATGGGTTAATAAAGAAGAATTAAAGGATAACTCACAACTTACCTGATGGACATTTGATGAATAAAAAACTTATGTCTTGACGTGTAAGCTTATGATGATAAGAACCAAAGAACTGTCTTGCAGTGTATCCAATTCAGTTTTCTACTTAATATTTCTCTCTGATTTATCTGTTCTTTCTTAGTCATTTTTGTGATGTTCATTATTCCTTTGTTCTGTTTCTCTCTCTTGTATTATAATAATTAATCTTAAATTTTTTTGCTTGCTCTTCAACATACCTTGATTTAGTAGGATATATCAAATAAATGCAAACTAGGGAGATTTACAGAATTTTTTTGATTTTATCAGTTGATATAAGAGTTCAATATATAAGATACTGAGTAGTCTTTCTCACAGAATAATTATATATTTTCACCGCTATTGAGGAATTAAAAATGGACAGTTCTTTGTACTGCTGTACAGCTAGAACCACTCTTGACATAACAAATACTAATTATTAATATTCCTTTTAACAACAAGATTTTACACCATCTCGTTTAATTTGAAATGGAAGGAATACATAGGATATTATCAAATAACAGCACTTTAGGTCTGCTTATATAAAAAAACAATCAGAGAGAGGCCCATGCCTCTCACATTCAACATGCTCTAGAAAGCAGAAAATTTATGTTCAGTATATCAGTGTGCAAAACATTATTTAATCATTGCCTGTACTCAATTGCATTACCTAATTTCCTTATGATGCTTATGACAGTTTTTTTATGTTTAAAGATAACTGCTCTTGTAATATAATCCAGAGTAATGCAAATGATAAACAGTTGAAGCAAATAAATGTGCTATACATCTAAGGTCCTATAGCACTATGATAAAGTATTGTGGTGAAATGGGTATATGAGTTAATAAGTATGAGGTGTGTTACATGCAAACGCTAATGATGTAAATTGGACATTATTAAAGGAAAGGGTTAAGAGTATAGGGCGACAGGATGGAATGAGGTGTAGTTGTTATTGGGGAAACTAGAGTAAATTGCTTTAAGGAAAAACTGGTAAAAGAGCTGTTATGAAATAATCAGTGGCTAATACTGGTAGAGATGGCTGATAGAGAAGTAGCAGGAGAATAGTCAGGGGGATGAGATAAGGGACCTGGAGAAGTAGGTGACGTATCAGGAAGAGCATCAGGAGGGGATGAATCCAGAGAGGGACACTGTTGTGCCAGAAGGTATTCACGTGAATATCCTGGTGGGAGAGATAAGGACAACAGAGAACGAAAAGAGAATGGTGTACATGGAGAAACTAAGGATGGAGATTGTTGGGAAAGATTAGGAGGAAGAGGGATAGGGGGAACTTGCAGGGAGGAGGATGGATATTGACAAATAATTTGAATGTAGAGGGACTAGGAATAGAGAGATTGGAGGGTGGATGAGGAACATTTTCCTGGTCATGTCTATGATTTTTTGGATGTCTCCAAGAATTTATGGAGGTATTTGGGTAGTGGAAGTCTGAGAAACAAAGGATCTCTTGTGAGGAGGAGAAGAGGGGATAGATGTTCGAGGAGCAAAGGAAAAGGAGGGTGTAGGAGAGGATGTGGAAGGCAAAGATGGAGTAGAACATTTAGGTTGTCTGGTACGACACAGAAAGTGAGGGGGAGGAAAGTAGGTATTGGAGTGGTAGACACTGGGTATCTGGATTTAGAATGGAAAAGGGATTTTACAGGGGGATAGGGAGAGTAGTGGTAGGATGGTTCAGGTAGAGGAAAAGATTACTGGGGAGATGCAGGAACATCTTGTGGAGATTGTGTGTGTGTAGTGGGGGGGGGGTGCAGGGTGAAGGACTGTTTTGGAATAGGTAGAGAGAGAAAAACCTCATTGTTGTGCTTCCTGTCTAGCCACAGAGTGAGGCCTAGTTTGAATCTGAAACTGCTACCTCACATTCGAGCTTATAGGCAAGGCAGCTTCTATAAAATACATTATGGGAGTCACCACAGCTGGCACATGTATGTGACTGAGCTTGGCAATCTGAATGGTCATGACTAGATAGGGCACATAGAGGGCAGCAGGCTAGAGCGACAGTGTTTGGCTGGATGGCCAAAATGCCAATATTTCTGACACTGACGGGGAAGGGGTCAATATGGTTAGACATGGTAGGACAATCCACCAACATAAACTTCATGGGAGGTCATGTCTACAGAAGTTAATCTTGGCAATATTGACATAGGACTCACGCTGGCCTCTGGGAGGAATAGTGTAACAGTGTACTGCGACTGCATCATAATCAGCAAGGCAGGTAAGTAGGTCACTTTCAAAATCTGACCTTGTTCTTGTCATATAAGGGACAATCAGTCAGGGGGATAGAAACTGTTTCAGTACAAGTATTAAGAGAGACATGAGGTTCGACAGGAAGAGAGACATGAGGTTTGGCAGGAATAGGTTTGCCAGTAAGGTTCAGTTAGGGTAGATTGTGCACGAGCATGGTATTCTGATGTAACTGAACGACTGGAGCAGCCACAAAATGTAACTTTGCCTACTTTTTGGAGACATTGTTGAAAGAGAAGGGTATTCTCAGAATAGGGGGCCGTGGGGAATCACAAAGAATCGATCCCACTTGGCTGGTCAAAAGAGAGTACTCAAGAGATTTGCAGAGACAGAGGCAGAGAAGGACAAGGGTGGGAGGAAGATGATGTGGTGCAGAGAGTAGTACTGTGGGGGGGAGGACACTAAGGATGAAGAGTAGCAATAAGGAAGAACACTGTGCAATAGGAGATGGAAAAGAAAATGTTGGGAGAGAAGAAGGGGTGCACTTCAGAAGTTGAGTAATAACCTGGGTGGGTGGTCCAGAATGAATAGAGTTGTCAGTACACGTCGAGGAGGGGGTATTACCATCAGTGGTTGGAGCTGTGGTCAAAGGAGGGGCAGGGGTCAGAAAACCACCAAAATCGAAATCAGATACTTAATGAAGGGGTATGCCTTAATGCCCCAATTAAGGGTAAAGAATCTTCATTATTGGCCTTGGTAAGCTGAATAAAATGGGGAAAAGAGACAGTCTACCCCTTAGAGTCCCCATCAGGGCTAGGTAATTAACCACATTCAGCCAGGGATGGCATATGTACATGCCATGTCAACTACGTGTTTAATTTAGTAATTGTTTATACACATAGGTGGCTCCAAAATTAGTTTGCCACCCTTGAGCCAATTGCAGGAACTAACTGTCTCTCCTGTTTACATTTATCCTTGACTTTCAATATT